CGAAGAAAAAGATGTCTGTATGTGTCTGCAATATGGGTGTGCGTAGACGAGTTCAGTTGAAGTGTGGTGGCTTTAAAGTAGTTTGTGGTGGGAGAGAAAAGTTATTGAGAAGATATATGAAATGTTAGTAATTCAAAAAAGAAAAAGGGTTGATACTCTTTACTACCTGAGGGCAATTGAAATAATATCAGCTCAACTATAGAACGCCCGAGCAACTCAAAAACTAACTACGATCTCTAGAATCTCACGGCGAGTTCGACTTTTCCATAATGAGCGACATCTGGAGCGATGGCTCTCACATCAGCTCGGTAAACTGCCAAGTGTAGAGAACACTCAGACTTAAGAAAAATGCCCTGAGTACTCAGACTCATGCAGTACCAAGCAGTTGGAACTTTGTAGGACTGTACTACCGAGTATCTTCCAACTTATAGGCACTCGCTTAGTAAGAGAGTAAATCCCAACCAACTGCTGCTATCAAAATCCTGTTTAGAGTAACCTTAAATACAAACCATAAGAATAAGTATTGCTTGGTATGCTTTGCAATGCCCCAGAAGCTTTCCTACACACCGAGGAAATCGTCCGAGCGGGGAAGGATAAATATTAAGCTGAGTTTGAGCACAAATAGCTGAATCTTTTTTACTGTTGTTGGTATAATAATTATGGTAGTATTTGAAGTTGCTTCGGCGTTATGCTGAACATGCCTACATTTGGTATATCAGGGGAGTATTTTCAGTTGGTAGAGCTTGCATTGAGAGCTGGGAGCTCGGACAAGTTGACTTTTACTGAAAGTCACGCATCGCGCATAAGGAGTCCTAAATAGATGCCTGGTGTATTATCCAAGCTCGAGAGTTGAACCTTCGAGAAGATCTGCAGCATTTATTCAACGCCACCTTTGTGGTAGATATTTGGAATATTTGCGTCCTAGAGCTTTCACCCGAATACGAACGAATATGTAATTTAGGCGGGGCTTGGGAACAAAAGCTGCATCATTTTTCCAAGATCTGAATCTCCTTTCCGATAAATTTGGCATAGAAACAAACCCCACTGCCATTTGTGGAAAATAAAACCCTTATAATGACAGGATTTGAGCTCATTCTATATGTTTACAGAATAACGCATTATTTTCTGAGAGACACAACTGAGCTCATGTGAGAGGCCCAAGCAGTTTTATTGTTTTCCCTGCTCAGAGTCCACACCAGACGGTCAGAACTAGACCAATTACGTACCAATCTGATCTGAAATAGTAAGAGATTACTTTGATGACTAGTAAAAACCATAACTTATGGTCTAGGTAACGCGGGAGCTCAACATAAAGAGCTGATATCTGACCTTTCTCATCTGTTAGCGGGTTTAATTGTCACAGAGCTCACTAACCTGGCAGATTTTTTTTATGAGCTACACCGATTTGGAAGTACAAGCTTAGAGCTGTTTTCACACTTTAGTAACTTTATGGGATAGCAAGAAAGAGCAATAACAGAAGTAAGAGAGATAAATCCAGTCGTAGCAATGAGAATGTTTTTAAAAAGTGTGAAAACAGCTCTAGCTTTGCCTTATTGCAGTTTTTTCACTTTTAAATTTTCCTTTTCCTATATCAGCAGTGCATGATTCGCAACAAATTTTCATAATGAAAAGTAAAGATGTGAAACAACAAGAACAACAACAGCAAACCAAGAAGACATTGTAGGTATGTGCGAAGTAGTTTCTTGTGTCAAATTAGCTTTGGTATACATACACATGTATATTTACAAGCAGGTCGTGGCCTTAACTGAGCCGTAAAACAACTTTGAGTGGGCAAATTGAAGTATGAGCTGAATTTCTTGTTTTATTTATGTTGATATGTATGTGTGTAACATAGACTTGCTATATGTGTGTGTATTTGTAGTTATTTATGTACTCATTATCTATAATTCGTATGTCTGCTGACATAGACAACAACTAATAAGCATTTAATGAGCATTTAAACGTTTTAAAATTTGTCACGGATGGGTAACTTGCGTGCATGTGTGTGTTCATATAAATGCAGAGTAAGTCAATGCATATGTGTATTGAAATTTAAGTAACATATTTGCAGTTACTTTACTATCAATAAGATAATTTTATTTATTTATCAATTTCATCATTTAAATTTATTGATTTTCCAATCAAAATAACCAGATCGGATGAGGCTATAACATAAAAACCATAATAAAATTGAATTATTAATTAAAAATAAATTAATATCTCGATTTATGAAACAAAAATGAATTAATAACATTTAAAACATTTAATTAAAAAAAATTACTTTTTTACCTTTTATTATTAAAAGTATCTATTTAGATTAGATTAGTAATTAATTTAAATTGATTTTCGACTAAAGCAAATATTAATTTTATGTATTTCTATTTAATTAACTAAAATGTATTGTCATACTTACATATATTTACATATATGTATTTTTAAAATATATGAATAAAAAAATGAGTTATAATTCCATTAACGCAAAAATTGTTACTCATACGCTCCGTTGTACGGTTGCTTAATAAACACTCGTACAATAAAGAAAAATTAAAAAAAAATCAATTATAATTGGTGCTTTGTAAAAAATTAAGAAAAAAACAATTATATATATTTAGAAATTAAATAAAAATTAATAAATATAAAAAAATAGATATAAAAGAATAAAAATTAATAAATTTAAAAATTAATGAATATTTAACAGAAACTTAAAAAACAATAAAAATTAATATATATACAATAAACAAATTTAAAAATCAAATAAACTTTGAAGAATACAAAAGCTAACATCTAAATTAAAATTATAAGGTCTAAACTAAATAAAAAGTTAATGAAAAACTGTGTATATAAATATAAAAATCCAAAATACGAGTAAATTTGAGAAAAAGTTAATAAAAACTAACGATTATCAAAAAAAAATCATAAAATATTAGAAATTGATATTTATGTGAATAAAATATAAATAAATAAGTGTGAAATATAAGAAATAAATTAAAATTAAGAGCATAAGTAAAATTAAAAAGTAAAAAAAAAATAAATAAATAAAAATCAAAATTAATATAGAAAAATGAAAAAGTGAAAGCTGGTAAATGAAAAAAAAAATAATAAATACAAAGAAAAAAATAATAAAAACAAAAAAATTGTTTACAAATTAATAAAAATTACTAGATTATATTAATAAAAACCAGCTAAAAATATATGTTTTTAAAAAAAATAAAAAATGGAAAATCCATAAAAAAATGATGCACAATTAATAAGCAAAAAAAAAAATATTTAAATAAAAATTTACAATGGTTTTTGTGGCCATGCTATATAATAATTTCTGATATAAGCATTAACTAAACTAAAGGCCTGTTTTGATTGTATGAACAGAATATTTTATTATTAAAAAAAATTATAAAAACATAATAGAAAATCAATAAAGAAAAATTATTGAAATGAACATACCCAAAAATATAAAAAACAAATTAATAACTATAAAAATTTAAAAACATAGAAAATCAATAAAAAATTAATAAACACAAGAAAATAATAAACAAAAATTTGGCACTTCTTATATTCAAAATAAAGAAACAAATAAAAATTAACAAGGAAAAAATATAAAAAAGGAATTAAGAAGAATAAAAAGCGTAGAAAATCAATTAATATTAATAAAAACTTAAAAAACACAATACAAATATAAAAAAATAATCAAAAAAAACCCCAGAATGGTTAATATTCAATTATTCATAAAAAATAAATAAATAATTCGAAACAAGTTTTATAAATCCCATCACCTTTTATATTTATATTTCTTATTTTTAGAAAACTACTTGCATAATTAAAAACAAAATCTCAAAAAAATGTTAATTTATCATAAAATCCTTGCTCAATTAAAAAACAAAACAGTTTTTATTAATAAATTAGCGAATACACAATTAATAGTTTAAATTAAATAAATAAAAATATTGACAAGATTAAAATATATTGTAAAATAAAAAAAGTTATAAAAAAGTTATGTATTTAAGTAGTATAAGAAAAAGATTTGTTTTGGAATTTTACTGAAATAATTTAATACATCTAAATTCTGTTTCCAATTCCAAATAACCAAATATGCACTTTCTTATTACCATTTCAAGAAATTTCTGTGGAAATCAGTAAAAAATAAAAATTGAAATTAAAACCAGTAAATATTAAAAATCATTAAAATTATATCAGTATATAATTTAATTAAAAATAACTGACCGCCATTTTAAATTAAAATTAGTTAAATAATAATAAAAGTAGACGTATTTTGAATAAACCCGTAAAAATTAAAAATTAAAAAAATTTATTTTGTTTTTTTTTTTCAATTTAAAATATATATTTTTGAAAATAAAATTACTTTTTTTTTTAATTTATTAATATTATAATTATTTTCTTTCAATTTAAAAGCATTTGAATTCAAAAAGGTTTGAAAGCATATATTTTAGTTTCTGCAAGAAAATTTTTGTTGGTAAGTTCAAAATATCCCAACAAGTATGCACATTTAATATTTTGTTATATACATATTCATATGACACGATTTATTCCTTAACATTTTTGTTATCAATTTTGCTTTCCTTTTTGTTGTTGCTATTTTATGTACTTAAACAGAGTGTTTTTCTTCAGTTCTTTAAACTTTTTGGCCCACAAATTTCATTACTTAATAATTTTCCAGCGAAACAGGTATACTACAATTCTTAATTCATCCCGACACATTGCGTTTTTTTCTCCCCTTGGTATTATTTGTTTTTGTTAGTATGATTTTTTGCTGCTGTAGGATTTTGCAAATTTCACCTTTTATGTCATACGCTTTTACACACTAATACCAATGCACGCTTGCACACAGAGAAACTTATAATTATATATATGCGTATATAAGTACATACATACATATATCGTGCTCTATATGCAACGCATCCATGTACATACATACATATGTACACACACACACACACACACTAGCACACAGACACAAAATTGCTAGCTGAAATCCTGCCACCCACCTACAAATTAAACAAGTAAAGTCTTTCTAGTTATACACCGTTACACAGAATATTTCACCGAAATGCACAATTAACATTTTAAAGCGTCTGTATTTGCGAACATTTCAAAAGCAACTGATTTGTATCGAACGCAACGAAATTCATCTCGCTCGGCCAGCACCGCAAGAGCAGCGGCACTAGAAGCAGTGGCAGTAGCTGCAAAAGTCCACCGATAAGCAAACGAATGGAACAACGACTCAAACAACAACAATAGCGGCAGTAGCAACAAATAACCAACAATTCACAGCCACCCACTATCCGGTTATCAGGTGCATACAAAATCAAAAGCAAAAAATCTCCAGCAACAGCTTATTGACAATCATTGTTGTGCTTGTTGTTGTTGTTGTTGTTGTTGTTGTTGTTGTTGTTGTTGTTGTATGCCTTGTAGTTTTTGTGAGCAAATATTGCCAACTCTCCGGCTGTTCGTGCGATTGTGCATTGTCGGCTTTTTGAATTGTGCCACTCGGTCAGTAGTAACTCGGCGGCGGTCGGTTGCTCGTAAGCTCAAGTGCTCAAGTGCCGACAATAATTTGTTGAGTGCAATAAAATCAGAAGAGAGTTAAGTATATATACAGACAACAAGTGTACTGTATTTACTCGCTCTTTCTCTTTAAATGAAATAAAAAAAAAAACTGTTAATGAATTAAGATTGTAAGTTACTTATACCGAAGGCTGACGTTCCCGGATGCGCGCTGAACGGAAATGACCATTCGTTCGTGTGCTGGGAGCGTGAGATTAGCTGTGATTTGGTACATATAATATGAGTGTGCGCTCTCAGGTTCTCACATAAAAAAAGTTTAGTATCCGAAACCTATGTACAATAGATACAATAAAATAGATAAAAACAAAATAAAAAAATTAAATAATATTAAATAAAATTAAATAAAATTTAATAAAATAAAATAAAATAAACTAAAATAAAATAAAATAAAATAAAATAAAATAAAATAAAATAAAATAAAATAAAATAAAATAAAATAAAATAAAATAAAAGAAGGATTGAATAGGGCGCTGTTGTTAACTCAGCTATAGTCGGTTAAGCGGTGTCTACGCCAGTAAAGATTTGAAAACAATTTTCTTATTAACTCGATCACTTGACTTCGCCATGGAACTAAGAAGTATATTAAGAACTTATTTGTTATGTGGCAGAAGAGAGACAAGTTAGAATATACATTCGCTACAATAGCTACAAAATTGAAGCCTTTGCAAAACAGCACATAATATTCCTTAAATTTTAAGATGCTGCCGGAGAGCAAGCTCATGCATATAATAACAGTACCGAGTACAAATGAACTTGAAATATGAAAAAATAGAAGATAAAATAAAACATGCAGGCGCATATATTGTGATAAAAATATGCAAATGTATATGTGAGAGAGGATACTAATACAGATTTAAGTATAAAAGTATGAGTTTCTCAGAGATTATACAAAATCAACTATGAGCGGAGAGCAGGTGAGAGCTTCACGAAATGTACTTTACATGTCTCTCAATTACATACTTGGTTAAGCCTGTACCAAGTGTGGGTGCGTAGTGCGCTCATCAGCTTCGCTCTCACTCTCTCTTTGCAATGTATATATTTTGCTCTCAATATTCTTCGGCTAATATGCAAAAGTTTCCCTTTTATTAAATAGGAATATGAAGCAAAAATAGCAGGGAAGGAGAGTTTTAACGCTTCCTGAATTTAACCTATCAAAGTCAAAAGGACACTTAATTGGGATTAGCAGGGTTGCATGACAAAATTGCTTTTGGAACAATTTCTATTTGGGTTAGGGTGAATTAAATGTTACTCATCAATAATTTCTGCAAATTTATATGAGTATTTTTATTGTTATTTTTATTTATTTTTTAATGTTCAAATTTTTGTTTTTAATTTTTTTTTATTTTTTTTTTTTGTTATTTTTCGTAGACTTACCCCAACTCTATTTAGTTTCATTCATCATATGCCGAATATATATGGACTTGCTCTCCGCCTATTACGCTCTTCTCTGCTTTGAGACTATTTTTACGTTCTCTTGGAGAATTTCTCGCACGCTCGGAGACTTTTTAACTCTAACCGTTCCTGTTCTCTCCTTCGCACAATACTCACTCTCAGCATTGACATTGATTTCTATGACTTAACGCTATTTGTTGTTATTGTTTTGCTTTGCTTTGTGCGTATTTCTTATGGCTATATACCCTTCAACTGTGCGCTGTTGTTGTTGTTGTCATCTCATGTTGCTTTCACTTTGAACTCTCCATCGACACATGCAGCAATCAGGCCAAGAAGCTTGGTCATGTCCGACTAGACAATCACGACCTCAGCAAAGCTGTTCAACATTGTTGCTGTCTCATCAGCTGTGTGCCACTTTATTATTGTTGCTGCTGGTGTTTGTTTTTGTCTTATGTGGGTGATGCTTTGTACATACATATGTACGAGTATATATATGCATATATCTTTGTCCTTGCACTTACATTTGCTCGCATCTCTACAATAACACACATCGGCATCTCATCGCTCCCCTCCTCGTCGTTAATATTCCGCATGGCATATTGAAGGGATGTGTGTGTATAAGTATTCGTTCGTTCGTGTTCGTCCCATATCGGTTCTGGGACAACCCACTTAATCAACCTCGCTGCTTTACACTGTCTATTAGCAACAGACCCATCCCATCCCTGACATCCTGCAGCTCGGTGTAATGACTTTAAATGCTTGTAGAGGCGTGTACTTTTTTCTGCGCTGCTTTACACAGTACATGGAGGACAAAAGTACAGAGTTTTGCAGAAATTCGGATTTTAAGCTGCGAATGACATGCTAGTGAACTTGAATGCAGACATATTAAACATTTATCGATAGATTTCATTGCTGCAGTTTGAAGTGTTTGTGAAACTGGGCTTAGACGTATCTTCTCTCTCTCTCTTTCTTCATGATACTCCGTAAATCCTTTGCTGTCCTTTACATTTTTTTTTTATAAAATACCGGTTTTTGCACTCGGATTCCCAAAAGTATTCACAATGGAAGAGTTGAGTGTTGCTTATAGGAGTGTTCTCCGCAAGAAAAGTTTACCATTTCACTCCTCTTCATACAACGAGAAACTTAAACCTTCCTCTCGACCTAATCTGCGATAATTCCCTGTGCACTCCCACTAAGAACGGTGCTCCTTATTATTGCGCACGAACCACTTATTACCCCATCAATCATTTCTGGAAGCTATCACTTGATCAGGAAACATATAGCCCGAGCAGGCCTGTCCAATAGAGTCCAGGTGCTCAGCGGCTAACAAACATAGCCGATCTAAACCTTTTAAACTCTTTCTTGTGTATTCCGAGAGTTCAAGCTCCACACGTAGTAGAAGAAGACGCATAGCTTGCTTATGAAAACTGTCTTGCCCGGTGCCAATTAAGCTCTGAATACTCTGTGTCCGTATCAGTAATCCAGTCTCGACACATATAACTCTAAAGAACTCAATGTTTGCTTAGACTCTCAAAACCTGTCTGGTCATAAGTGTACTCAATGCATCTGCTAAGCCCTCCTGAGCTAGGTAAACAAGCCGACATAATCACAAAAATTATATGAAGAAAGTCTTTTTTATATAGATGAGGAAAGTCAAGCCAGACGGACCATGACTAGAGTCTCCTGTGAAGCAGGTTTACCATTAGAATAGCAAAATCATAAAGGAGATATCTATTAATGAGATTAGAACAATATAATGACAGACTGGGAGGATGTTTTTGTGTTTGTCGATTGTGGGTAAAGAGTAGCTTAGTTTACTATAACGGCCAGACCTCAGTTCAGGCCCCACGAATCAACTTAAGCTCTTCGTCAGCTATGGGTTACAGTTGAATTCCCATAACAGCATTCACTGAAATAGAATTGATGACGCGAGTTTCGACTGGATCACTGATTATCCATGAACGAAGTTCAAGTATTGCCGGTAGTTCATCTCGTCCAGCGGCTCTGTAACATATTCTTAAATGATTTCGAACCTCATCTCCTTTTTGAGGTGTTGCTTCCATCTGGCACAGAAATTACAGCAACACCATCAGTCGTTTCTTCCTTCACGCCTTTGCGCTGTCCATTGCAAACATCAAGTGAATTCAACTCCCTCCTTATGACTCCAACGCAAACCGCTTTTACGCACCGAAGTTAACAGGAGTTTTATCGGGTTGCTTTTTGAGTGAAGTAAAATAAATTGCCTTCCCTAAGTTATGTTACTAACGGGGTGGAGGTCTTCCTCCTCTTTTACTTCCAACCCTGGGAATTGCGCCAAAGAGCTTTCACAGCTGGAGTGCTTTTAACATTTCAAACAATATGGCCTAGTCAGGCTTAGACATTATCTTTTAATTTGCTGAACTACAAATGCTAATGTGATCGTATATCTCTTACAGATCAGTGTTCTATCGATCGAGATATTCACTGTCGCTCCTATGCCGAAGACCATAAATCTTCCTCAAAAATTCTTGTCGTAAAACTCCCAGCGCCTACTCCATCTAATGGAGGATATTACGTCTCAGCCTTCTCCTCACGGCTCTGCAGTAAGACGATTGAAGCTTTTGCAAGCGAAAAAAAATCCGAGACTGAAAGTTCGTAGTGTCTAGGAGGCAACCACTATATGCCTCGAGAACGCCACGGCATCAGTGGATTTGTACGCGGAGAATCTTTTACATAAATTTCTATACTTTAAAGTTTTCTCTGCGAAGTAGCAGAAGTAGCATACAATTATTTCTGGCTCGACAAAGCTTGATGTCTCTTTTCGTCTGCAATTTTATTACGTTCATATAGATAGACCAGCCATTGACGGGCTTAACATTGTCGATTTTCAATTCTAACTCCATTTGTTTTTATTTTGCGATTGATACGCATATTTGTATATAAGTGTGCTTGTATGTACGTGTTATTACATAGTCGTAATACTTTTTTTTGTTTTTGTACAATAGTAATGTCATTACATTATTGTTGTACATCATGTATTGGTTCGATGGTGGCATATTATACGAGTATGTGCAAAGTAACGGTAGTTGTAATGGTGTAGTATACATACATGGCCTACCGCACTATAAATATCAGCAATAAAAAATTTTAAATAATAAAAAAAGTTATTAAAAAAATAATTTAGTAAAGAAAATAAAAATAATTGAAAGAAATAACTGGAAACAGTAATATAAAAAAATAATTAAAAATTAAAATAACAAAAATTATAAAAAAAAAAAAACAATGAACACAAAAATTGTTATTATTTCTATATTATTGCATATT